CACTAACAAAAGTGGTATGTATAGGTGTCACAATCGCCCCTAGCATGCACTTCAACTTGTTGAAACGTTGTTCAACTAGTGAAAGGAATGTCCCTCCTTTACCAGTGTAACAGTTGGCAAGGTTGTTTTGAACATACCTACCAATTGGACCTCTGAACTAGATGATTCAACCGCCTCTTTCTGAAAAAAGTATTGAAATGTTTGTACCAAATGTTTTTCACAAGCTTCACTGTGACCTTTAGAGTGGAGATGTCAGTGTACAAAACATCCATATCTCCATGATTAACCTTAATTCAAAAGTCGGTACGAAACTTGATGATTATCACCTAATTTCTCTACTCAACTCATGTTTCAAACTTCTTACTAGGATTATGGCCGGTCACATGCAAAGAGTTATCATCCAAATAATTCATCACGATCAATATGGCTACACCAGAAGATGCACCATCTATGATTTCTTAGCTTGGTGCTTCGAATTTCTTCATCAATGCCACCAATTTAAATGAGAAATCCTTGCCTTACAACTTGATTTTGAAAAAGCTCCTCCCACTATTGAGCGCAGGATCATCCTTCACATGCCAATAATGACTTGTGTAGTTATCGGATCAAATCAACCTCTAGGATTATGTACCTCTTCAACCCTCCTAAATGGAGTCTCCGGCAAAATGTTTAATTTTTTTAACCTGGTTTCATGTAGGATGATCACTCATCTTCATTTCTTATTTTCATTTTACTAGTATTCTTCTATACATTGTATACGGAGTTTGCCAAAACAACAACAACATTAACAACAACAACAATGCTACAGACAACATTAACAACAACAACAATGCTACAGATGAAGGCTTATCACTTAGCTAAAATCACGACCTGCCTGATTGATCCAAAAGTACTTGAGGCAATGCTACAGATGAAGGGTTATCACTTAGCTAGTGATCTTGCATGCAATACCGCTTTCATAGCCACTGCTTTGCTTTGCCACGGTTAGTCATATGAAGGAGGGATACTCGGGAAACTTAGCTGCTATCGTCCATGAGATTAAGAGACACATGCAATTGTTTACATCAATGGAGGTTGTCCACGAGAACAGAAGCATGGAAGTAGAAGCTAATAGACCAGACGCCACTAAAAAAAGGCTGATAGATCAGACATTATTGCATCATGAAAACATCTTAATA